TATATATATATATATATATATGTATACATATATATATATACATGTATATATATGTATATGTATATGTACATTGGAGAGAGAGAGAGGGAGAGAGAGGGGGAGAAAGAGGAGACAAGAGGTACACATGTAAGAATAATATACATAATGATAATAATATATTATTTTATTATAATATATTATAATAATAATATATTAGCTAGCATTTATATAGCACTTTAAGGTTTGCAAAAACCTTCACATATTATCTCACTGACCACAAAACAACACTGTGAGTTAGGTGCTATTACTAACTCCATTTTACAGATGAGGAAACAGGCTGAGTGGTTAAATGACTTGTTCAGGGTCACACAGCTAGCAAGTGTCTGAGGCAGAAAATAAATTCAAAACAGTTTTTGGAAAGAGTGCATTAGCAGGTCTCAGGAACGATTTCTTGAAGAAGATTGCATTTAGCTGAGCAAGAAGCGAATGCATTCCAGGGATGGGGGAAAGTCAATGCAAAAGGTTGGAGATGGGAGATGGAATTTCATTTGTGCTAAATGGTTAGCCTGTAGGGCAGGATGGCTGAATACCAGGAGCAAGGTCAAGTACAAGAAGATAGGAAATGGAGGAAAGGATCAGATTAGAAAGAGCTTTAAATACCAAAAAGAGGAGAGAAGTATATATAGAACATCCTCTGTGAAGAAAACTCTCTATAAATCGACAAATTTATGATTCATAGTCTGGGGCAGGGAAGGTCAAAAGCATGATCGGTGCGATGGGATAGTGAGTTGGAATTCGGTTATGTTGGTGTTAATCCACAGAGCAGACAGGGCATAGCTAACAAAAAGTTGAGTATGTTAAGTCCTCGCATGAGAGGCTTCTTTGGTTTCTTTCATACTATATATAAGACTCGTTTAACAAGTCACTTAGGAAAATCAGGCTCATTATTTCACCAATAATTTAAGAGACCTCTATGTCCTTTTACATATCTAACATATTATGTGTCTAGCTTTCTATAATTGTCGGTGTCTATTTAGTAAAGGGCAGCTAAGTAGCACAGTGGATACAGTGCCAGTCTGGAGTCAGGAGGACTCATCTTCCTGAGTTCAAATCTGGCCTCAGACATTTCCTAGCTGTGTGACCCTGGGTAAGTCACTTAACCCTGTTTGCCTCAGTTTCCTCATCTGTAAAATGAGTGGGAGAAGGAAATAGCAAACCACTCTAGTGCCTTTGCCAAGAAAACCCTAAATGGGGACACAAAGAGTTGGACATGACTGAACAACAACAACAAAACTTTAGTAATAAATATGATGATCATATTATCCATTAAC